CAGGAGGATGTTTCTACTTAGGTAATAATCTGGTTTCCTGGTTCAGTAAGAAACAGAATTCGATCTCTTTATCAACTGCAGAGGCTGAATATATAGCGGCAGGAAGTTGTTGCACTCAATTGTTGTGGATGAAGCAGATGTTGGAAGACTATGGTATTATACAAGATGTACTGACAGTTTTTTTTTTTATAACACCAGTGTTATAAATATTTCAAAGAATCCTGTTCAACACTCTCAAACAAAGCATATCGATATTCGACATCATTTTATCCGAGAATTGGTGGAGAACAAGACTGTCGTGTTGGAGTATGTAACTACAGAGAAGCAACTAGCAGATATTTTTATAAAACCTCTTGATGCTGTTTGGTTTGAGGACTTACGGACAGCTTTGGGCATTTGTGTAATGTAGTTGTTCTTAGTTTAAAAAAAACAAAAAAAAAATGACATTGCGTTTTGGGTGGGAGCCGTGTGTTATAATAACCGGCCCCTTTATTTGAAATTTCCAGCCCTAATTCTTTGCTTTGCTCCAGAAAGTTTGCTCTCCATATTTCTCAGAAATTTCTCCAAAATGGTGAGGACCTGAAGCAATCAAGTGTTCAATCGGTTTCCCCCCAAGAAATCTTCTGTGCCGTCGAAGAAGGTGAAGTTTTCTGCCCCACGGCGAGGTGCTCATTCCTCTGCTGAAAATGAACCTGTCCCACTTGCTTGCCTTCCTCCGTCGGCCATTGTTCCTAACTCCAAGGCTCCGTTTTGCGACGAAGGAGATGAGATTTACTCTACTCCACGCGGGTCTTCAGAGCAAGAAAGTATTGCTCCCATTGCCCATTTATCTCCGTCTCTCGATGTGCCGAATTTGGGTGAAAATCGGTCACCAACCAACTCTTCTAAGCCTCCGAAGGTTGTTGCGGATCAGGTGTTTGATGAAATGCCTCAGAGAGATAATCTTCCAGATTTATTGAAATTTGCAGCAAGACCGGGTTTTCCATCTTAGAGCTCTTGTTCTCATGCATTCCAACAAGGTTTGAGGCCTCAGTTTACACCAAGTGTTGACAACCAGAATCCTGAGTCATCTTCAAAGAAGCGGTCTCAATTTTTTAGTGAAGAATTCCTACACCCATGTGTTCTTTCTTTGGATGATGAGGAAGAAGTTTTACTGGAACCCGTGGAACCAGTAGAAAAGGAGAAGTCTTCTCAGCAATCAACAAAGAAGAGGAAAGAAAAAGACACATCGTTGCCAAGCAGAGTCACATGGTCTGCAGTAAAGTGTTCCGCCTCTGTTCAAAAAGGTTCGGGTTCTCCACAAGAGCACACGAACAAGACTAATGCACCTGGTACATCCTCTACTTTTTACTCAGAATTAAATAAGAAAGTATGGGACTCAGCAGTGCAGAGAAAATTTTTATCTGAACGGCTGTTACATGAAGCCGATTTTAGGGAGTTAGGCGTTTTTGATCTTCTTAAAGCACAACATCTACTTGGAACGGTGACTAGGGTGCAGCCTTTTGTGAAAAACGTGGTTTATGAGTTTTATGCTAACTTGTTGGAAGAGATGAATAACCATGCATCTGATATGTATCACAAAGTGTTCATCAGAGATCATTTGTTTAATTTCTCTCCTGTTGTGATCAATGACTTCTATGAAAGTAATCGGCCGGTTTTGAACAGAGAAGTTGATTTTAATGTCATTATCGCTGAAATAACTGCCAATGTGCGACGTAAATGGCCTCCTGCAAAGTCTTTTCCTGCAGCAGAGTTAAGCTTGAAATACTCTGCCCTTCATAAGATTGCTCTGAAAAATTGGATGCCAAGTATGCATGCAACGGGAGTAAAGAAGCCTTTGGCAAAGCTACTCTTCCTGATTGGTACTACTACTACATTTGATTTTGGGCAGTTAGTGTTTGATCAGATCATCAGCAATGCTGAAGCCACAATCACTCATCCGGTTCTTCCTTTCCCTTCCCTCATTTATGGGATTCAGACGAAGCAACATGATGTCAAGAAGTCGGATGAGTTGTTTGAGAAGGCGTCGGGGTTAATTCGAATCTCGAAGAAACTGCATTCGGGAAAACATGTCGATGATGTTCAGGGGGAGCAGAGTTCTGATGAAGATGATAATGCTGAACCTAGTGTTGCTCCGAGTGTCTCTGGTGGTGTTGCAATAAGTTCTTCACAGTCCACAGCAGCGGTTTTAAATGCAAAAACCGTTCAATTTTTGTCAAAGGAGTTGCTCAATTTGTCAGCATATGAGTCTCATCTTCTTCGGGAAATGAAGAGGGTCGGACACAAGAAGAAGGAGATCACTGCTCTGCTTGGAGATCTTCAGTCTTCCTCGGGTGCTGATGGGCATGTTGGTACATCACAGTAGTTTGTTGTCTTTCCTGTCTTTTATTTCTTGTTGTCTTTGGCTATCTTTTTGTCAAAAAGGGGGAGAACATTTAATTAATCCTCTTGCCTTTGTCAGATTTTTTTTTTGTAATCAGGTTGTTTTGTTAGTTTAGCCAAAAATAGCCAAAGGGGGAGATTGTTAGTGTATTTTGTTATTGGCTTATTTTTGGTAAACTATTTGAAAAACTATTTTAGGCAAATTGGTTGTAATTTGGTGGTAACCTTGGCTGGCGCAACATTTTGGGAGTTTCTTAAGGAAAGTTTTGGTGGCACAGCAATCGTATTGATTTGGTTGCAGAAAGTGTATAGTTGACTTTGTGAATTAATGGTTGACAGATTTGAATGTTGGTGATGGTCTTTTGATTGGGGGAAGCACGGTTTAGTTGGATACACTGAATGAATGTTTTGAGTAAGAGTGTACTAAGGATTGCAGAACTGTGTACGTGAGAATGAGATTGTAAGGCCAAGAATCACTTGATGCGTTGTGACGGATTGTGAGAACATATTTTTGAATTGGTTCTTCGGAAGAAGATTTTATTGGTTTCGGGAGGAACCCATCAAGACGAGTGGTGCTCGCTGATCAAGTCTCCTAAGGAGGTTCTAGGCAACGGCAACATCTTCAAGGAGAGAGTCGTTGAGTGTGTAAGACCGTTTCGGTCCTTGTAATCTTTTGAACTTAGTGGATTGATCACTGTCTGGGCGTGGCCCCGCAGAGTAGGTGTGCGCACCGAACTGCAATACCATTTTCTGGTGTTCTTTACGTTTCTGCATTTAGTTTCTTGTATTTCTGATTTGCTGGCTTAATATCGAAATTTCTGTTATAACAGTGTTACAGTAAAGTGTTGTAATGCTTTCTGTGACACCAGTAACCAAAACAGACCTTTCACACTATATTCTTGGATGGAGCTTTAACAGAAGTGGACAAGCACAAGGCCAAAGCCTTGACCATGACAAGCTTCCTTCACTTTCCTCACAGAAGAAAAGGGGACAATATCCTGGTAATGTAGTTATAGTGTCATCTACAGTAGGGGCAACTTTTCTAATAGCCGTTGTAACTGGAGCTACTTGCATTATAAGGAAGAAAAGGTACTAAGAAGTGCACGAAGACTGGGAGACGATATATGGTCCTTAAAGGTTATCCTATAAGAATCTGTACAAAGAAACTAAAGGTTTTAAAGAAAGTGAGATTCTGGAGAAGGAGGTTTCAGAAACAGCCGCGGAACTAGCATTTTACTTTAGTGAGGGTGTATACTAATTTTTTTTATTACAATAAATAAACATAAGAAGTATAAAAATTTAAATGACAATATTTTTCAATAACTACCAAATACATATATGAGCATAAAGATTAAAAAGTGTAATATTCAGTGGGGGCATATATGAAAGTATTAAATTTTAGTAGGGGTAAAATAGAAATATCATAGGATTTTGAACGATGAAAATGTAGCATTAAGAAAGTCCCCCACTGAATAAAGCATAGCTCCGCCCCTGTTCGGAAATGTTTATAGAGGAACACTTCCTTCAACCAAAGCACAAATAGCAGTCGAGAAAGTATCTCACAATTCGGAACAAGGGATGAAAGCATTTGTGGCTGAGATTGCAGCCATAGGAAGGCTTAGGCACTATAACTTGGTGCAACTTATTGGATATTGCCGCCGAAGGGGGGAACTCCTCTTGGTATATGGCTACATGCCTAACGGAAGCCTTAATGGGTTCTTGTTCGGTGCTCAAAAGCCAAGGCTCAATTGGGGTCAAAGATTTCGGATTCTCATCAATGTAGCATCAGCCATCCTTTACCTCCATGAAGAGTGGGAACAGGTTGTTTTACATAGAGATGTGAAAGCTAGTAATGTTCTACTAGACGCTGATTTGAAAGGAAGACCAGGAGTTTTTGGCCAGGCAAAATTATGTGATCATGGCATCGATCCACAAACCACTCATGTGGTGGGGACCGTTGGATATCTTGCTCTGGAGCTGAGTAGAACCGGCACGGCAACTACTAGTACTGATGTGTTTGCTTTTGGGATATTCATGCTTGAGGTAGCTTGTGGAAGGATGCCTACAAAACCACAAGGACCGCTTGAAGAGGTGGATTGGCTTTTGGAGTGCTGGAAAGTAGGAGCAATTCTTGACGCAAGTGATCCAAAATTGGAAGGAGATTTCCTGGCCAAGGAAATGGAATTAGTTTTGAAGCTTGGCCTGCTTTGTTCCTGCTCTTTGCCTGCAAAAAGGCCTAGCATGAGACAAGTGACGCAGTATTTGGATGTCAAGGCTACTGCTGATCTCCCTGAAATACAACCAAATATGGGTCTTTCTTCGCCCGCGTCTTTAGCAAGAGATGAAGCATCTGCTTTCATATTGCCATCTCCTTCATCATTTGGCGAAATGGGTTCTGCTCAAATTTCCTTGTCTATCACTAATACAAACCTAGAAATTGGTTCTTAAGCTTAGAAGTTTTAAACGCCGTCAATTGTAATGTATACTAACCAAAAGCTAATTGATTGGTTCAGGATGAAAAAGAAAAGGTTTAGAATAACCATTATCTTTGTAGCCTCTCGGCTCTCTCTCTCTAATGTGTATGCAACTGTTGACGTATGTGTTCACTCAGATTAGACTTTTGTACTTAAAAGATTTATTTGACATCAAGCGCCCATAACAATACTTTACAACTGTTGGTTTCTAAAAACAACATCCACTTCATGGAAATGGACAGAGAAAAGGTGCTAATCATAGCTCATGGAATGATTAAAATGCAAACCAAAACACTCATTTCACTATAACAAAAGTGTAATTTATCACAACATATAGGAATAGTACTCAATAGCTGCTAGTAATATCATTAATTCCTCGTGGAGCATCGGCAAGCATTAGATTGGCTTTAGATTTAGTACTGGCAGCTACCATTGTCACTTCTGGCCGTTGGATCAAAGTTTGCTGCCAATGGATCAGTGCAGCCCTCAGGAACTGGTATATTAATTTGCTGAGCTGCCTTGCCTGCATCAAGAAAAATTGTAAAAGAGTGAGAAAACTCTTATTCTAATTTAAATTTTGCTAGTTACAAGGAGAAAAGAGTTGGCATTTCTTCTGACCATAGAAAGTTCCTCTCTTGATGGAGTCCTGGTTGGCGTCTCCAAGAGCGGCCTCGCTCAAGTACTTGTCAGCCAATTGAACTCTCTTCACATTCTCCTGCTCCTGGACAAGCATGTTACCGTATTCGAGGAGTTTCTCAACTGTCATCTTCGGCTGATCAAAAGTTGGAGGGCCCTCCTTTGAGTTGACAAGCTTCTTCCCAACACTCTCAACTCCTACACCCGATATCCACTTCCTCACTTCATCGTCATAGACTCTAGCTCTCAAGGCACCGAAGAAATCTGCAGAATGAAACAGCAAACTTGTGTTTAATGATCTTATTCCCATAAGCTGATAATTCAGATAAAAAGGTTTTTTTTTATAAACATAATGAATTTAGAAAGTGAAAGATTGTTTGCTGATTGAATACAAGAATAAGATATCAAAACAATACAAACCAAACTTAATAACAACAAAAAAGAAATTAACATAAAAAAATAAAACCCTTTTGGCATTGTAGCTGAAAACCCTTTTTAGTTTTCCAAAAAAAAAAAACAGAATTAACCACTACTATAACAACTCAAAATATGAACCATTGCCACAGTTTTTCTAGGTTTAGACTTGTGTATGTAATATGTTAATGCTTTCTGACCATATCATCATTAACAAATTCCTATCAGATCATCAGTTATGATACTAATAAAATTACCAAGCTTGTCAAAGTTCTTACCAATAGATTGACCAGGGAAAGTATCAACAATCTTAACAATGTCCTCCAAGGGGACATTGTCACTCCTGAAGATTCCAGTGCAGACACCGATGCGGTCTTCCCTTGTGGGAGCCCAGTAGAACTTCTCCATACGACCGTCACGGATGAGAGGCGCATACAGAGTGGAGAAGTCATTACCAGTGACAATGATGGGCACACGGGGGTTATCCTCCTTGTTGTACATACCGGGAAGCTGTACATTTGTTGGGTTATCAGCAATGTTCATCAGAGTTGCATTCACCATTTGGTTATTCACTGTGTACTGCGTGGTTCCCCCAAGCCTACCAGCACCGGCATCAAGATCATTGATGAAGAGACAGCACATTTTCCCCTTCCTGATTATGTCTGCCCCTTCACGGTACCTCTGCCTAATCAGCTTTGCAGGCTCTCCTGCGTTTCCACTCTCCAACTCACCGGCACTCATCATGATGGGGCTGAAAAATTTACATTCAAGTTGGTCTAGAATGCATATTAAAAATATATAACTATGACTTGGAAGAAAGTTGGCTACACCATAAATAACTCACTTGATTCCCATCTTGGCAAACACAAGCTCACACTGGAAGGATTTTCCCTGCCCTTTGCCTCCCCAGATACCGAGGATGAGGGGAACCTGATGATATATACAGTACAGATATCATGTCAAGACAAAAATATATATGTTAGGTATAAATATAGAATTTATTAGGATTTATTTAAGTTATTTCATTATTTAGTTATGTTTATCTTATTATAAGGTCTTATATTTCTATAAATAGACTTAGTGATTGTATTTTCCATTTAGACCTTGATGGTAACTGTTGAACATACATTCTTCTTCTATTTATCTTTTCCTTTCCTTTCCTTTTTCTGTCTTTCTTCACTTTAACTTGGCCCTAGATCACTAAGCTATGCATAAATAAGTAAATAATCATAGCTAGAAATTACAGTTTATTTGAGAGAGATATAGTTGATTGTTCTCTACCTTAATGTTGGGAAGCGACATGAAGTTCTTGGTGATGTGAACCACAAGCTTGTCCATGAAAGCTGGAGCTATGTATAGCCCGTCCATGTTGTTATCTAAGTTGTATCTGCATATGACATGAATCACCAAATTAATTCAAGAGCAGTAGTCCCTATACATTGGCCGTTTTAGACTAGCTCAAGCGGTTTGGTGCGTGAATGCATGCGTGCGTCCACTATAGTTTGAATCCTGATGGTTTCATTTCTTATTAATAAAGTGAGAGCCCTCGTACAGTACAAGGAAAAGTTCAAATTTTCAGTAAGAGAAAGCACTGTAGTATAACAATATAAAAGAAAAGGGGTTAGTGTCCGTGTCTTACTGGCGAAGTCCAGCACTTATGTACTCGTAGGAGCTCATGACAGCATGGTGAGTGCCGGTACCCGTGGGAGCTTGGAAGAGAGAATCAACCATTCCCTTTCCTCTGGTGATGTCTTGTTGGTCATCCGAAACATCGTACGCAAGCCCTTTCCACTTGTCCTTTTTGGTCTGTTTCTCCTCATCCAATTCCGCAACAACTCTCAAGCTTCCACTCCCAATTCTCGGGAAGCTGGGGGATCTTTGGCTGATAATCTTCTTCAAGCTTCCTCCGAAGAAAGCCGAGCTCGACACCGAGTTGCCTCCGGTACCAGAGCTGTTTAAGCCCAACTGCATGCAAAAAATAAAAATAAAAAATAAAAAAAAAATACACGCGCACACACACACAATCCAACTTCATCATCAAAACAAGGGAAAAAAAAGAGTTTGAGTGAAGTATTGAAGAGATTCATTGCTTACAGGTGTTCCGTTAACAGTTCCAACGGTTGAAACTGCCGAAGCCATGGCTCAGTTGCTTGTGAGCTAAGCAAATGGAAGCTTCAGTTGAGTTGCTGTGTGGAGCTAGCTATGTTTGTATGTGTGTGTATACAAAGAGGTTTGAGCTAGAGAAAGTAGTGAGGAAAAAACGTGTGGTGTGGTCGAGGAATCACTAACGGCCACAAAATTCAGATTGGCCTTAACTACACGTGGCATCTCTCTAAGACAACCGTTGGCTGCTTCAGAAAAAAGTGATAAACCCATGCGTACGGGTGTAAATCAGCCGGGTAGGGTAGGGTAGGGTTGAGCCGAAAAATTGAGCCTATTCGATCAGTGCGAGTTGAAAAAATTTTAGGCCGTGACACTCTCTTAAGTCTACAAACCCGCAACCTTTCGGGTGACCTCAGGTAGGGTCGGGTTACTCGGGTTGGTGAAAACCAATTTTAATCTATGACTTCATCAATTTTAATCAATTTTTAGTCAATTAATCTGTGCTTATTACAGAAAAAATCATTATCAAACAGAACATGTCTTTCCTTCAAGAGGGGGTCTAAATACAAGGTGAACAATTAAAACACTCACTTTGAAATCAAACACTTCCAATATAAATAAAGAATGTCCTAATTCAACAACTATGGCATACAAGTATTTTTTACACAAACCGTGAATCCAAAACATAAATAAGTTAACAATTAAAAGCATAAAGTCCATAAACTTATGAAAGTAAGAATTTGAAGTGTTGGACATTGTTTTACCTACTTTGAACATGTTCAGCCGGGTAGAGTTACCTCGGGTTCATGTAACCCCACCCCGCGCTCCTACCCGCGCAGTGCGGGTTAGGCATAATTAAAACTAAAAATTAAATAAAAAATTAGAAACCCGTGATTTTCGAGTAGGGTCGGCTCGGCTCGGCCGGGTTCGTCGAGTTCGGGGTGATTTCTTATAGCCCGCGTGCTCTAATAATGTACAGTCAAATTGGGTTGGGTAGCCTTTTTAAACCACTTTTTTTTATAAATGATTGAATTTTTTTTTATTTTACAAGAATGACTGTTATGTTTATATGGGTCTTTAAACCACAATTAATCAATGATAGATCACAATTAATCAGTAATTAACTAATTTATTATTAATTTATTAATAATTTATTATTATTAAATATATAATTTATTGATTGAACTTGATAAATTATAAATTAATTTTAATTAATTATTAACTAATGTTGATTAATAATAAAAAAATAATCAAATCAATCAGTAATTAACTGAGTTAATAAAAACAGTCATTTTTATAATTTTACAAAATTTCAACCATTTATGAAAAATATCTTTAAAAAAAAAAAAAGGCCATTTCTATTGAAATTCTAATCAAATTCTCTTCACCACTTAAAATATGGTTTTTGTTTTCTATTCTCTTGGTAGTTTCGTTTGCTGGTCTGTGGTGAGAATAATAACACCGTATAGATAAACACATATGCATAGAAAACAGATCTTTCACTATTCATGTGTTGTTTTTATCTTCACGATCTTAATTTACTAAATATTTTTTTTTTTATAAAAATTTAAATTTCCGAACACACGGAAAGAACCAACCCCGAATTTTCAAAACACTCTTACAATGAAATACGCTGTATTAATATAACACTATTTCCGATTACTTACACAATTTTTTTTTTTTTAAAAATCCCATGATGTCGTACATGAGATAAAGAAATGATTGCACGGGAATGCTCCACGTCTGCGCTCTCTCCTTCTCATATACATTATTGTGGCATTTAAACTTCTTTGGAGCTAAGCGCAAGTCTTTTTTATGATTGATTTTGGAATGGCATTTCCAAATCAGATATCAAAACAAGACAGTCAATTTTTGATATTACAACACGGAACTAAAAAATCTCTGAGCATGAAAAGTGTTTCTTTTTTTTTTTTCTTCTTTTGGTTGAAAGCCTAAATAAACTTTTTCTAGTTCCACCAAAAGCTAGTTACTAATTAAAATTTCCTATTTAGTCTGGCAAGGAAAATAGCAAATGGAGATATTTATTCAACAGTTTCCAAAGTTTTTTTTTAGCATATAAAGTGGCCTGGGAAGGCTATTTTACTATTACATATACAAGTTTGACAAACTCGCCAATAAAAGGTCACCTAGGAGAGCACTTTCATTTCAAGATTTTGGATTCTATTTCTTCCAAACTCAAACCTTTGGTTTCTGGGACGTATAGTACCACAAACAGAAGCGATAAGAAAGCAATAACTCCAAAAACTAGGAAAAGGTTCTCTGCTCCCAGCAACTCCTGCAGATTTTCAGCACATGTTAAAAAGGATTGTGAAAATGGAAAAACATGCTTCAGCTTGGAAAGGAATGAATGAATACCTTTAATGGTGAGAATGCAAATGTTACAATGGCATTTGAACCGAAATTGGTCAGAACTGCAAGACTAATTCCTCTTCCTCTTGTGCGAAGCGGGAAAATTTCCGACACCATAAGCCAACTAATAGGCCCAAATGATATCTGAAAAGATGTTGGAATGTTATGTGAAGGTTTCAACTTTCAGACTTGATCTTTTGGACAGGAAAATATGTCATGAAATGTGAAAGAGAGGGTTAAGATCTTGTGATTTCGAAGTTAGTGACTGCTAGATGTATTAACTGCAATAACAATGGTAAGGGTAACTTTTATAGTATTTAATACAAATTAAGGAAGAAAAACTTATACCTGGTAGCATCCCACGTAGAGAAGCAGAGAAGCTACTGCGACAAGTGGATACCCCCCAAGAAATTTGTAGTAAGCAGAAAGGAGAAGCAAGGATACAGCCTGTAGTGAGTAAACAAGATAAGAATAAAACTCAACTTATTTTATATAATAACAAAAGTAGCAAAGTAAGACTAACAATTTAAGGTTTAATTGTGCATGTGAAATTGATTGAATAAATTGCACAACTTGTGGGATATATCTTTTTTTTTTTTTTTCCTCAAGGCAAGCCATTAGAGGAACTAGTAATAAAAATAAAAGGCGTATTTATTAATGAGGGTAATTGGAATGAATTTCATAAGTAGTAAGAAAGCATACAATTCCACTGACACCTCCAATCAGCAAAGGCCTTCTTCCAAGGTCATCAACTTTCAGGACAGCTATCCATGTCATTACCAACTGCAGAAAATTTCAGCCAGGAACAAAGCATAATCTAACAAGAAATAGAAACATGAGGAAGATGTCCCTCTTAAACCAACATTAAGAACCAAATAAAATTTTTTTAAGTGCACCTTGAATAAACCAATTATGACCGATACTCGGGTAGCATCAGAGGCAGCAGAGAATCCAGCACTCTGGAGCAACATAACGGGAAAAATCGCATATGATTAGATAACTGAAATGAATGTGTTCACTATCATTTACAAGAAGGTCAGATTTAATGATCAACAGATTTAATGATCAATCACCTGCAGAATTGAACCAGCATAATACAGTACACTTGGTTGCCCAGTAATCTGTCACAATCAGGAACAAATTTGGTTTATAGATACTTCAAGCTCTATGTTATATATGTCTTCTTAATACAAAATAACACAAGTTGTGGATGTGAATATCAAAGAAAAATTTTCATAATAACAAAGAAGAAGATATACCTGTTGAAAAAGGACCAAACCCCCGCCAATCACAAAGGCTTTCAGACTTGGACCTTGAAAGACCTCCAAGAAACTACCCTCAGATTCCTGTTCCTTATAGGCAGACTTCAATGAAATCAAGGTACCTTCTATTTGCCTCTCGGATTCCTTGTCACCGGCAGGTCGGCCTCGCAGTTTGCTCAGAGCACTAATGGCTCTCTCTTTATATTCTTGCATGGACCCTTTACCTTGAACAGCCCTGAGAAGAAGCCAGCGCGGAGATGGCGGGAGACTCCACATGCCTAGTCCCATAAGTAAAGCAATAGGAGCACTAACTCCAAACATGTAACGCCAACCGCCTACTATGTTAATCTGAAAGCTCCCTACAAAATAACCCAACTGCAAGAAAGTGCAAAAGAAATATTACAGAGAAACTCGAAGAAAAAAAAAAAAAAAAAAAAAAAACCCCAAAAAAAATGTATGATCTATACCAAGATTCCCAGAACTATGAAAAGCTCCTTTAAAGATACTAGAGTTCCACGAATTTGTGACGGACAAGTTTCCGCAATATAAAGAGGAGCGCCATGCATGGCCTGTCAAAACAAATATACTAGATTGATGCCAAAAGCATGAGTGAGTACCAACTCTATATGAAACTTGGATTGGAAGGTTTTTCCATTCGTTTTCCTTTTACTCAGTAGGTGTAGTTATAAGAAGTATACCAAGCCAATACCAAGGCCATAAAGAAGTCGTCCTGCTAAGAGAACACCGAGCTCCGGAGCATATGCAGTGATCAGACCCCCAAGCAAATATAAAACCGCCGCTATGATAAGTTCCCTCCTCCTCCCTTTATAATCCAATTCAATAAGTTGAATAAGAAAACATTCATATGATAAACAAGCTTAAAACCTCATGAAAAGTTAAACAAGAAAGCATATACCAAGGAAATCGGCAATCGGGTACACAATGGAGCAACCTAGAAGAGCTCCATACAGGGAACCACTGACCTACATTGAGGTATTCAATGTCATCTTAGAATAAAACTTTGGTGGAACAAATCAAAAAAGACTACAATATTCTGCAACTGACAACGAAGTAATGTTTGTCTAATGCATGACCATACCACGAGACCAAGTTGCACGGCAGAAAGGTTGTACCAATTTGTGCCACTAAGCTCAGGAGACTGAAATTCAATAATCAAAAAATTTGGTTTAGAACAGCTTGAATATTACTTTTTTAGTTCCCAGTTTAAAACAGGAAAAAAAAATGCATATGAAATAATAAATGTCAAAACTACAGAGGACCTTTAAACTTAGAACATACCTGCAATGAGATTGTAGCACCGGAAGTGGCACCTATGTCATACCCGAATAATAAACCTCCCAAAGCAGGGAACAAAAACCTAAATTCCAACAATTTAGTTATAAGAGACAATTAATTATTTATCAATTTACTACATGCTAACTAATCAAAGACACTCCAACAAAACCTCCACAAGACTCCGGTGTTAATTAGGCTCAATACAAAGTCTAGTTATTCGCCGGTACCACTTTAATACGTAAATTATGCTCAAATCTTTCCATACGAATATGTTCATAAACCAATTCTGGCATTCCTACTTCTGATATCATTGACCAAGATTGCGAAGTGGGGCCCTACTTGGCTACCGTCAGAAAGTACTCATCTTGCTTTAGCAATAGCAAAGCAAAATCACAAACTTGTATTTTAAAGCTCCATTGCTCCAACTTTAGTTATGAAGGACCACTAATTAGTTGGAGTTTGATAGTACTTATCAAATTCAGAGCAGAAAAGAAACATGAAAAAGAAAGGGAAAAAAAAAAGACGTACGGCAAAATTACTGAAACCCAAGAAAACTCTTCACGGTCACCAGCGTCAGATACAAGCGCAGCTTCTTCCTCAGAAGAATACCCTTCCTGAGCTCCAGCCTATCGCCCCGAAAATCAAAATTAAAAACAAAAGAAAAAAATAATTATTTCCATTGCCCAGATCATATAAAAGCTAAATCAAAATTTTGTACCTTTGCACTGAATCTGAGTCTGCGTCCCATGAGTGTTCGGGAAACGGCATATTTGGTCCCTAAATGATTGTCGTACGTTGAAGACAAACATGCGGTTGAAGTTGAATAAGTGTTAAAGAAAACGACATGTTTCTTCTTCTTATTATTATCATTATTATTAAGGTTGTGTTTAGGGTGTTGTTCTGAGAGTTTGAGATTGAACAGAGCTCGAACTGAGGCACTGCAAGCCATTGGGAAGGAAGGAATGCGTGATCAGACGGTTGGTTGGTTGGCTGGCGCTTTATTATCTTGTTACTCTTTCTTCGTTTCTTTTTCTTTTTCTTTTTCTTTCTTCTTTTTGTTTTGCTTTTGACTTTTCTTTGTGTTTTGGTAATTTCTGTGAATTTAAGGTGGGTCCACTTTAATGCTGTCGGCCCACTTACGTCAGGGAACAATGCTTTTGCAGAACAAATACATCTGCGCATTCCAAACAAATCATGTTCTCCTCTCATGAGAAGTCCTTATTAAGGGGCTTGTTTTGGATTCTCCCCCAAAGATTTATTAGAATATCTCCGGGTGGGCTTATGATCATACGTTATTTTTTTTACCCTATGAGTCTATATTAAATTTAGACTCCGTTTATTTTGTTGATTTAAATTTTTAATTTGAGTTGAGATGTGATTTTATGTGATAACTTTTTACTGTAATAAAAAAGTTAAATGTGATTATTTATGATAGCTTTTTACTGTAATAAAACTCAAATTTTAAACTCAAATCAGTGAAATGAACGAAATCTTAGAGTGTTTAAAATTACGCACTCACATATTTTTACCGTCGACATATTCAATCGGACTGGGGTGATGCACTTCTTATCCGAGAAATAGAACGTTTTTATTAATATTTGAGGGTCCTTCTAATAACATCTAAAAAGATATATTAACGCGGATGGAACCTACCTTGAACTTTTTTTCAGAAAAAAAAAAACATATATCTCCAAGCTCTAATTAATCTCCTCCTTGACTTTTCAGGTGATTTATTTATATATTAATTGTTTCCTTAGATCTTACTAGCTATGGACGCGCGCATTGGTGTAGAAGTAATTTTATATGTTAAAAAAAGTTAAGAGTTTGTATACAATAGAAATATATTATTTATGTATATTGATACATAAATATATACATAGGACATTGTTATATAAAGTTATTTACAATAAATAAATATATATAACATTATTTTATGAAGTTATTTACAATGTATATATCTCTTTTTTTTATTGTTTGCTGTTGTAGTTCCTCTGTCTTTTGCTAGCTGCACAATATAAATTTTAAAAGATATTAGTATTAATAATTAGAAAAATTAAAAATAGTAGGATTTAGAAGTAGTTACATTACCTAGTTCGTGGACGTTTTCTTGGCTGTTCCATTTCTTTGGACTTAGAACTGTAATAATAAAAGGTTAATAAAGTATGTATTTAAAATTACAAATATTATTTTTATTTATAAATAATGTAAAATAGCAATTATATATTACCTGGTGGCTGATTTTTTTAGATCTGGTGTATGCGGATCTATTGATGTTGTTGAAGACGCTTGAGTTTAGGACAAAATATAAGATGTTTAAAAGGGATGCGGTCAGGAGTAGAAAGCAAGGAAAGTAGTTGAAGTCAAGTGTCAAGTTATTCAAAATATTAATTGATTAAATAATAACAGGGGGAAAAAATAATAAGTAAAATTTAAGGCTGTTCAAAAATTATAAAGTAGATGAAAATGATTAAAGTGATGGAACGTCATAAGAGCAAAAGGAAATAAGGGAATATAATATTAGGAAAGAGTAGGCATTGTCAGAATATAAGAAAGTAAAAAAACTTGAAAACGTATATAGAGCAAAGGGGAAGGAAATGCTAGGGAAAAAAGAGTAGGGGAAAAAAAAGGCAATAAATTGTATAAGTAAAACTGAGGAAATGGGATAAATTAAAAAGAAATGAAAGAGGAATATATTGAGATGATAAGAAGAGAAGGGAACTGGAATGAGTGAAAAAAAGTATAAAATGATATGAATAATTTTTAGGTAAATTATATAATATTGAAAATATAAAAAATAATTGTAATCATCATTGCCACATAAAAGGGGAGTGGAGAAGGGTATAGAAAAAGGAATATAGCAGTGAAATTAACCTATGAGATTGAAACTAACGAAGTAAGTTCTACAATGGAGTCAAAAAGAGATAAAATAATAGTGTCAATTTATGAGAAATAGACAAACTAAGTTGTTATATTGGGAAATGGAGCAAAAAATAAAAAGGAACACTAAAGAGGTTGTATAGAAGAAGAAAAAGAACATAAAATCAGTAGTTCATTATCGATAGTCATATGAAATTTCTTACATTTATAGGGCCACGTCTAAATATTGAAACAATAAATGTCAGTGATTAATAGATTTCAAATTCATCTCTAATTAAGTGAGTTATTATTTCATTTTTATTTTTCTGTTCTATCATATGACTAAATACAATGTTCTAATTATTATCTTTCTGAAATTTAAATATAGCTGATACTTTATTGTCATACAATAGGTAACTATATATAATTGGAAAATATTTTCTCAAGTATCAACACGGTCTTCAATCTATTTGTCTTGTTCAAGTAGTGTTCCAAACAATTTGTAGTGATAGTCGAATGGGAAGAGACTAATAACCTAGGTTCAACCTATCAGATTAGCATTCTAAAGCCATCATACTCTACATAACTAATTAGCATTAGAAACAACTTTAATCCAAGCAATTGATGCATCTGGTATAAGCAACTAAAATTAGAAAGTGATAGGGGGAGACTATTAACAATGCCTCAAACCCTCCAAATCCTCTCTGAAACATCAAATACAAGCCAACTGGATGTGAGCGGGAATCAATGATATAGAGGTGATAGGATGATAGAACAAACAGGACCAAACCTGGAAAAAAGAAGTAACCAAGTAAATGAATAAACAAATAGAGGAAAAAGAACCAAAAAAAGTAGTAGATGCAGGCAAAACAATGTTTTTAGATAGTAATTACAGTTTAGGTATAGCATGTTCTTCAATGTATGATAAATAGATTCTGGTAACTTGCTAAGGACAAGTGCACAAAGAGGCAGGATATCATATTCATCGCACAGATTCTAGGACACATGCGACACAAAATAAAATTAAAAAATGGATTAATACATAAAGTTGTCCAAAGACTACCGGGTGAATTAAAAGAGAGGTGGAAAACAACAACACTAATAGAGTAATAAGGACTGTAATTTATGCTAAGAAAAAGTAAAAGAAACGGTTGAGAGAAGAGGACTAAGGAGAAAAAAACACCGTAATAAGAAGATAATGAAGAATGTTATGAAAGGACAAAAATAAGACTAACATAATATTTGTCTCTTTTCCCAATAGTTTTTTTTTTTTTTTTGTATGAGACAATAAAAACAGGATGGCAAAACTGAAATTCAGCTTGAAAGAAATAGGTGAAGATACCTATAAAGAGTTTTTCAATAAAACAGTCAATATGGAAAAGGCAAATGCCCTGGAATAAGTAAAGGTAGAAATGAGTTAAAAATCTAAACCAAAAATAAAAGGCTACCGGGTGAATTGAAAAGGAGAGAAAAAAGAACGACATCAACAGAGGAATAAGGACTGTAAATAAGTAAAGGAAACAGGTAAAAGAAGAAGACTAAGGACAAAGAGACAAAGTAATAAGAAAATGATGAAGAATGTTATGAGATGACAGAAATGAGACAACACAATATTTGTCTTTTTGTCCAATAATTTTTTTTTTCCTTATGAAACAGTAAAAACAGGATAATGGAGCTAAAGTTTAGCGTGAAATAAAAAAGTGAAGACATCTATAAAGAGGTTTTCAATAAAATAGTCAATACGGAGAGGCAAAGGCCCTGGAATAAGTAGAGGTGATAACACACAAAGGAGTAAAAAATCTAGACAAAAAATAACAGATAAAACCAGGGTCCAAACAAAGACGACACATTCACAGCAATCATTGGACAAATTACGCAAAAGTCAACACATGAAGACAAACTACGATCATCATGCTGAGATAAGTAAAAATAGGAATATATATATATATATATATATATATGGGGACATGCACACACATGTAAGTAAGAAATAAATAAGGAAGTCATAGAGGAAAACCAAGACAGATAAGAAAGTAGCAAATGAACACGTAGATATGATACACTAAGCAAATACAAAGGAAAAAAAAATGGACAGGAAATAAAGGACAAACCGCAGACATTAATAGGCCTACAACAAACCAGTGCATTCAATATCAACAGCATAATTGAGCAAGCTATGGATAAGAAGTCTCAAGAGTACCTCGAACGCTACAAATGCTGTGTTCAGTCTGAAATATCAGTCAACCAAACGTGACCAAAAGATAGTAAATGATTGAAAGTGAAATAAGGAAGCAAAAACAGGGGATGGAAGGGAAAGAAATAGGAGAATGCGTGATAAATTCATGTGTAGACACATTCTTAAATAGGCAGAGAGAGAACTAATGAGCAACCCATAAGAAAATCCCACGTAAGGACCCAAAGTCGGTGAGGTAAAAACCAGAAGTTTCCAGATTAAATAATAAAAAGTAATTCATTAATGGCAATACAGAAAAGAACTAAGACACGTATATAAAATATAAATATAACAATTACCCACATTTGTTGGCTAAATTCTTTAGACGTTTCAGAAAATAGAAAAAATCAAAGATTCATTAAATACCTCTGCAGTAGAGTGAGCATAAGTACAGAAAAGACGTAAGACACGTATTTAAAATATAAATATAACAATGACCTATATTGCCTAAATTCTTTACACGTTTCAGAAAAGAAAAAAAAATTAAGGATTCATTAAATACCTCTGCAGCAAAGTGAGCATAAGTCCTCAACGTGGCAAGACAAGTCAACACCATAGAGTTTAAAATATAAATATAACAATTACCCACATTGGCTATATTCTTTACACGTTCAAGAAAAGAAAAAAAAATTAAGGATTCATTAAATACCTCTGTAGCAAAGTGTGCATAAGTCCTCAACGTGGCAAGACAAGTCAGCACCATAGAGTTCACAGATCATCACCTCAATAAATACAGGCAAACAAAATCAAGATTAAGCGGAAACAATATAGAACAACGCATATAAGAAGTCTTTTGTGAACAAAAAGACCAATCAAAGAGAATAATAAACAGTTATAAAGGAATTTCTCACGTACTGTACATGCCAGCCAATTAGAAATTGGTTTTAGGCTTAAGAAACACAAAACAAATATAAACAGACGAAGCACAAAAACAAATAGCTAAAGAGAATAATGTAACTAAACAATAAAAGTAGGCCAAAAAAAAAGAAAAAAGAAAAAGAAAGAAAGGGCCGAACATCTAGTCACTCAAAAACGGATAAAAACCCAAACCAAAACCGTGAATGAAGCAAGCCTAGAAGCAGTCCAGGAAAACCAAAGAGACCTGCGCCAAAACCCAAATCAAACTTTAATGAGCATTGAAAAAACTCATAACAAATGAGACACAAAACCAAGCCACAAATAAAAATGGCAGAACAATCTCGAAAAACACAAACCAAATCCAAATAGATGGAGCACAAAAGCAAATAATGAAGAGAACAATGTAAATAAACACTAAAACCAGGGGAAAAAAAGAAGAAAAAATAGACCAAGCGTCTAGTCACTCAAGAATAAATAAAAATCCAAACCAAAACCACGAATGAAGCAAGCCTAGAAGCAATCTAGGAGAACCGAAGAGGCATGCACCAAAACCCAAATCCAACTTCAGTGAGTATTAAAAAAAAGAAAAAAAAATAGAACAAATAAGGCACAAAAGCAAGCCACAAATAAAAATGACAAAACAATGTCGAAGGAAGAAGGGATAAAATCCCAAAATTTCCCCCAAAATCAAAGGAAAAGGACAAGGACAAAAAATGACTGAACATGCAATGAGCCAAAGTCAGATGAAAATCGAACCCAAAACCATAAATCAAGCAAGCACAGAGGCAGTCGAACAAAACCCAACAGGATCGCGCCAACACCCTCATGAATCAAAGACCGATCCAGTAAAATCATAGTAGAAAATTGTACCAAAACCGCAAAGAAAAATGCCCAAATAGGATAGAGAAAGCAATGATAAAATCCCAAGGCTTCCCCCAAAATCAGAGGAGAAAGGCAAAGGAAATCAAACCGCTAGCCAAAGAGGGCAAAGGAAAGAAGATCGAAGGGGCACAGAAGCAACCGAGGAAACCCAAACAGGCCCGGGCCAACACCTGCGTGAATCAAACACCGATCCAGCAAAATCACGGTAAAAAATCCCACCAAAACCGCAATCAAAAATGCCCAAGTAGGACGGAGAAGGCAACGAAAAAATCCCAAAGTTTCGCCCACAAACCACCAGTGAAAGAGGGCAAGGGAAAGAAGATCGAAGGGGCAAAAGATGATAGAAGGAGGGATCTACGGCAGCCACCGAAAAAGGGCAAGAGAGAGACGATCGAGAGAGGAAACAACACTTAGGGCTACACCAACCGGGAAAAGACCAAACACACAGGGCAAGAAACTAAAGAAGGGCAAGAGAGAGACGATCGAGAGAGGAAAGAACACCTAGGGCTACACCAACCGGGAAAAGACCAAACACACCAAGGCAAGAGACCGAAGAAGGAAAGAGGAGCAGGGGCAAAACCGGGAAAGCAGCGCGCAAGTGGCAAATAGACGAAACAACCCCTAGCAGAGTGAAGGAAAATGAAGGAGAAAAGGGCAAAATCGTCACTTCACTGTAGAAGGAACAGTGAAATGGGTCTGCGTGAACAAGACCCCCGAGCTCTCCTTTAGATTATTTATAACTTGGAGTTTCTAAGCCAAATATATATATATATATATATGTATATCTAATTTTTAGACCCTATTAAGAACCTGGTCCACGTGTATTCTCGGAATTAAACAAAAACTGAATAGGCATTCCAACCACAAAAATGGAGCGTCACACAAATATAAAACCGTGTTCTGTTTATGTTAGTTACCTCTAGATGTTGCATTGTAAAGACTGGCGAAGAATCAAAATTGTGGGACTCAGTTTCTCCTTCGTTTACTCCAGAAAATTTGGAGAAAAGAAAAACGTCTACATGAAAAGTAAAAACAAAAAAAAATTAAGAGAAAAAAAAACTGTTACGACAGAGAGAATGAAAGCTGCAACAAAAACCCCCTTAACTAATTAACCATTCCCAAATAAAGCAGCAAATAAAGCACCGGCACATTTAACTGCCATTCAAACATTATTTCCTTCACTTTTTTTTTTCCCTGAATTCTGACCATACAACCAATCTGAGTAACTGAACCCCTTATTTTTAGCTTCCTAAGAAAAAGTCATGTTTTCTTTCCCCTCCTTTTGACTTCCATTTTCTTCAACTAGTTTCTCCGTATTCTCCATGCTCTTTAAATCTCTTCACAACATTAAAGGCCTCATCACCAAACTGATCGGCGCCTGAGAGAACAAAATTCAACTTGCAAGTTCCGAAGAGAAACGAAACAACACTAACGATGGAGATCAGCAGCGACAACATCCTTCGGACAGAATCCAAAGCCAAGGCCGGGAAGCCTCCCACAAGGCTACAAGCTCAAGCGCCCGCGTCTCTTCGGCTTGATCAGATGACATTCTCTGCCCCTGCCCCTGCCAATGTCCTTCCTGCCGGTGATACTTCCAGGGCAATTCCATTGTTGTCGCCACTTGTTCTTTCGCCACAACTGTTGCAGGATTCGACAGAGAAGTTGACGTGTGGACATGATCAGAGTAACGAACACCAAGAAGAGGGAACGGCAGACAAGACCAACAATGGAGGTTCAGGTGAAAGTGGATGGCAACATCAGGAGGCGGCTACGTTTGCGGATCCTTCTTCTCTGTTTAGTTTCTTTCAGTCGCAGTGCATGATCGTGAACCCTGCTCAGTGATTTCTTTTTTTTCCAACTCTGCCGGTTTCATGATCAGTTTTATGTAATGTTTTCATTTCCAATTGGATTCTTTATGCCTTTCAGTGGTTATGAATTCTTTAGGCAAGGGACTATGTCGCACGTTTATCAGATGACGGTTTTATTTAGCCAAGAAAAACAGAAAACACATACCAAACAGAAAAAGAGAAAAAATTGGAATAAGCAGCAGGAACAAAAAGAGAAAAGAATGCCAGTAGAGAGCAGACTGTTTACGGCTGTTTTCAAGTCTCAAAACAACTTAAAAAAATAACCAATATCAGTTGTAATAACTCGAGAAAATAAAAGGAAGAGCTTTGAGAGGTTGAGACAGAATAAACAGGAAACATAAAATAGAGATAACTAATTCAATTCATAAATTAACCAAAAAAAAAAAAAACAAAAGTCCAAGTATACAAAGTGGACGGAATCGTATATTCCACTACAGAATTGCAACATCTAGAAATGCCTCGAGCGATCGTCCATTTTTAAGGCCGAAAAGCTCTCATCCGTTATGTACAACAGGCCAACGTCCAGTCCAATTTTTTTTTTTTTTTTTTTTTTTTAAAAGAACTACTAAGCACGTCTTTCTTTTCCCTCAAGCTTTCACTTGATAATAATCAATCAAGAAAATTCACGAAACACCTGACGGCACCTCTTGACTTGCTCTTCTTAGGCCACTGCCACTATATTTGCAAAATAGATACTTCTCAGGCAAATCAGAAGTCAAACTGAACCAAAACTAAATGTTGTGTGTTTAGCTCCTCTCCTTGGTCTACATCACCCAACTCATCGTCATCATTTTCATTCAACGGGGGCTCATCATCATCCTCCTCCGTGACATCATTTGGAGCAGGAATAGCGGGAGTGCTGGCTGGAAGGTCTGAAAGAAAAAGTGACTTCAATATCAAATTGTAGTAGACATCAAGAATTAAGAATCACTAGTTTAAATGCATCAACTAAACGGGCCCTATAACTTTCTCTTATTACATTCTAACTGCCATTATTTCTTCTTTGTTTCCTCTTAAACTGGGTTTTGTCACTCTTTTCCTTGATGTTTGGTATTCTTTTTTGTTTTTTCATTTTTCGCATGTAGACTGGCTCTTTGTGTCTCTTAATTTATATTCGTTTTTCTTCTCTCATGTTCCTTTTCTTTTGCAATGATCAATTACTGCCTTATAAAGTATGCAATTTAATGTTATTCATAGAATGTTGTGAAGTTTTTTTGAATGGAAAATGTCTTAAACGTGTGCCCCCACTAAATTCAATTCCTGGATTCGTGTGGGTAGGAAGAAGTGGCTTGGAGTGCAGCTTGGCGGGCTTAACCAGCTAAGCCGTCACCGGAGCCCACAGCTTCTTTTGCTGCGCCTTAGGGAGCTTATGCTCAGCAGTCAGCAGCAGCAATGAGGAGGCTTGAGATGTAAATTGGCCAAATAGCCAGCTCCTTGAAAGGTCAATCATCGGGGAAATATTTGTTTGTAATATTGTGTTTATATCCTGTTAGATGATTCAATTTTGTTATAGGCATGATTATTTCATTGTTCGTAATGTTGTAGATGTTTTCTCATGTGAATTAATTACATATGGTTCCTTGGAGAATTATATATCGATGAATATATTAGTTCATTGATCTTCTTCAAAATATATTTATACCTAGGAATTTATATTTTTTCACAGTGTTACAGTTTGGGTTGCGGTAGCCATGCTACATCCAGCCTATCAAGAAAATACTTGAAATCAGGGTTTACATATGGACAATACACAACTCTGATACAAACCCTAGATATCATACGATACATACACATATTATAGATTTATAGATGTTTGTATATATATATACGTACAAGGCGACTATTAGCTTTAACTTGATCATAATTCGCACATGATTATTGTTACTTCGTGAACACGCCCATCGACCATCGCAATCAAGAAACATCTTTCTTCAACAAGTAGTATAAATCAGGTAAATTATCCTCACCAAGCAAAGAAGAATAACGAATTCTTTATTACCTTCACTAAAGTCTGCTTGCAAATTTTATTTGTACTTTCCAGATCTTTCATGTGCAGATAATAGAATTACTATATCTTCTAAACAAGGGATCACCAAGATTCAAGGAAATTAGAAGTAATACATGCTGTCTGAATCCTTTAGATGATCTAGTAAAAGTAATTATTATGGCCAATTGCATTGTATATCATTGTCAACCATATCTGAAGTACTTGCCCAACCATTCTATAATCAGTTGCTCTTTTCTTTCTTTCTTTTTTTCCCTTGCAAGCTGTGCGTTTTTAGGACTTCTATTTTGTTTATAGCTTAAGAAATTAATACGTCAAAACGAACGAGAATTTAACCAATAATATTTTTTTTTTCTAGCTAGAGATGGCATCTTTCCTAGCTCTTAGTTATATGTATATAATAAACTGCTTTTTCCAGAGTAAATTCAACAATGATTGTAATTAACCTTTTATATTTTAACTAAATGATAATTAAGTATACATGACCGAAATCTGTCATGTCTTAAATCTATCTAATTCAGTCATTGATTTGGCTGCGCGAGTGTGTTAGTTTACAGGAATGAACAAGTTGGTCACTTCTTTCTCCTTATGGTTTAAGAGCGCGCTCTAACAAGATTCAGAGGTCTGCTGGTAAGCAAATAATTTCTTTGGTAAAGTACAATTTTGTGAGCTTAAGAAGTGGTTCTTTTGGTGATAGCAAATTTTCTTAATGTTTTATTTAGCTAGTTAGTTACAAGATTGATTTTCTGAATCCTTAAAATTTTAGTTCATCCATACTATGAAACACAATTTCGGTTTCGCTCTGCTGCATAATGTTACAATTTAAAACAGTGTCGAAGATTATAGCCAACTGACAAATTTAATGCGCTGAGAAATTTGAAAAATTGCTAATTTATAAGCACTATTAACAAAATGTGCATGTAAGCTTTTTTGCGCTTTATAGTTTGCATATCGATGTCTCAATTTGTTGTTGGCTTCTTTTTTGTTTCTTCAAATTATTTCATTTTTATTGTAAGGTATATGTTAAATATATGATATACATCGAGTGATCAATCAATGCGCGCATAATTTCATCGAGTTAATTCTAATATGCAAGCTAATTAAAGATCCTGAAATTGCTAGTTCCATCGAGTTATTGTAATTTTCTTTTCCTACCAATATTATTGAGTTGAGAATTTGACAGAGGATGAAATTTTTGGTGGATACCAAATTAATTGGGATGTACTAGTTGTCTTTGATATCAGTTATCTATTTTCTCTCTCAGAACACAACATGGAATTTAACTTCAAATACCCAACAAGGTCTTCAAGATTTGGGACCAAATTACTGTTTGACAGTCGACAAGTACTTCAATTCCCTTCTCTGCTTGAGTGTGTGTTCTAGAGAGAGAGAGAGAGAGAGAGAGGGAGGGAGGGAGAAACTTCAATGATATTCACCAAGAACCGAAGATGTTGTAGAGATTTATTCTCTCGTAGAAAAAAATAAATAAAATATTAATTACAGAAAGACATGATCCAGTTATACCATCATTTTGCTGAAAACTCATAAAAACCACCTAATGATCAACATCGGCAGAAAATTAATACTCATTGTGCCAAACTATAACATCTGCATCAAATTAGACTTTAACCAATAAGCAAGGACTAGACCGTAATATTGGAAAACATTAATAATAATAATGAGTGGCTAGCTAGCTTCAATCATCATCAACATAAATGGTTTCTTGCGAAAACAGGCCACCAAACACCTTCCTCACTTCCGCTGGCTCCGTCTGCTTGCCTGTCTTCTTTGGCTGCTCCTTTGGCTTCAAAAAACTTATCGGTTTCACAATGGCTTTCAGGGACGGCAAAGACCGCGCCTTTGCCTGTCCCCTCACAGTTGCAATCTGCGCTTTTGGTTTCTCTTTC